TTAGATACCTTTTTTTCCAAACTGAGGGTTCTGTGAAAGTTCACAATTACCATTAGAATATTAAAGACTCTGAGAAGTTCTGTAGAAGAAAACCATATTTAATTTGATTTAACTCAATACGGACAAAATTTTGTTGGACTGAAGAACTTTTAAAACATTCCATTGACTATCTCATGACGTCTTATAGGATGCTGTGTGTTCCATGGAGGCACTGAAAAGCAGTCACATGTAATGATAGGAAGCAGCGTCCCTGAAACCACAGTGCTCTGAGTCACTTACTACCCGAGCATGTGAATTAACTTCTCTAGGCCTCAACTTTCTCATCTATTAAATGAGGGTATTAGGATTTGTTTTGCGAGGGAGTTATAAGGATTAGTTGAGTTCTATAGGTATTAGCTGTTACTGTGGCACATTCTGGGGATGCTGCTCTTAGAGCATCACTGTAAAGCTGATAATATTTTTAATTGGCCTCCCTAATAATGTTCAGAGAATCAGTACATTGTGAAATTTAAAAAATTCCATTATATTTCCATTGACTGTTCCACACAGTTGTCCATGTAGGAGGAAACCGCTGTACTGAAAATAAATGCCTATGATTCCATACCATCTGCCTTTGAGTCTTTCATAGTGAAAGAACTATTTGTGTCCCTCCCCACGGCATATTTATCTCTATGGTCGGTCTCACCATTTGACAGTCATATGGATTCTTGTCTGCTTGTCTATTTGAACGAAACTCCCGGGTGAATTTTGCAAATGCTGTTTCACTTGTATCCTGAGCATTTCTAAGGCTGCCAGAAATGTCTCTAACCGTTGTGTTGTCACACAGTGACAGAAAAACAGGAAATTGATTTTATTAGTTTCGTAGTAAGGGCACTACCAGAAGTAGTTCACTTTTAGAGCTGCATTCCAAGCACTCCTTAATAAGATATGTTTAGGTCTTCCTTTGACTAAAATGTCAACCTGCCTTATTTTTAAGTCTGTTACTCAAAAAAAAAAATATGCTTTTAAAAAAACATGTATCTTGGTGACTCTATGAGAATTTTTTTTATTATTGCCTCTTTTGTGGTGCTCAGCAGTTAATGATCTGTCCCAATGTGTCAATGCTGAAAGGCAGCAGAATGACTTAGAAACCATTTTGGCATCTTTTTGAATAGTTTCTCAGTTCGTTAGGGCTGCTGGCCAGAGAGAGAAAATCTACATCTAAAATGTTTAAGTAGAGAGATCTGTTGAAGTGTAGGTATTGAAGAATAAAATAAAAATGGATTTCTTCAACTCTGACTTGTGTTTTCCCCGGCACGTTTAACTAAAAGAATGAGGATCAACTCTAGCTAAAATGCTCTTATGGTTATCTTTACTCCTTTTTTCTTACTTAAGTAAAGTGTCTAGAGGGTAAAGGATTCTCCAGGAGGGTCTATGAACTAGCTAAAAAGAGGCATCAAGAAATTGTACAAATTTAGGTGAATTCAGCTCACCCCAGCTGCTGGTCCTCCGAAGACTCATAAATTTTGTTTGGTTGGCATACAGAGACCAGCTTAGACGCAGGTTCAAACTAAACTAAACAGGGAGGGTTCCATTGACAGAACCAGGACATCCGCTCCTGAAAAAGGAGAGTTCTATGGGAGGCCAGCCTACAATCAGAAGTGTCCCGGAGGAAGTGAAATTCAAGCAAGGGGATATTTCCCTTCAGTTGTGTGATTTGAGTTTGTGTGTGTGTGTGTGTGTGTGTGTGTGTGTGTGTGTGTGTGTGTGTTTTACTTGAAATTCTAGTTAGTTAACATACAGTGTAATATTAGTTTTAGGTGCACCATGTACTGATTCAACACTTGAATACATCACCCTGTGCTCATCACCATAAGTGCGCTCCTTGATCCTCCTCATCTCTTTAACCCATGATCTCCCCCCGACCTCTCCTCTGGTAACCATCAGTTCTCTGTAGCTGAGTGATGAATGTCATGAAATTTGCCACACTGAGGCTCTATCGTGCAACTGGGAGCATGCAGTACAAGGAATAAATGGGTTATTTTCATTTTGAGGCCTGAGTGCTTCTCCTCTGCTCAACCTAGATGGCATCGTGGACATCTAGCTCCTTAGATCTCCTCTGTCTATGCCCAGGCTCACTTTCTCCTCTTCTCCACCCTGTATTTCTCCAGAAGGACCATCACCAGTTAGATTCTATCCTATTAAATTAAAAGCACAATCCAGTCCTGCCTCCTGGAGCACACATCCTGATTTTCTTCATAAAGTTTTGGCTACTTCTTATCTATCTCCTTGGCCATTTATACATCAACTCTGTCTCATATATACATCAGCTCTCAGTACTGGTGCAAATGAGAAGGAATCCATTTAGGGCTAATTTTGTTAATTAAAATCTTACAGAGAAATTTTATTTCTTTTATATCCTTGTCTGATTTCCCGTCTTCTCTGTCACCTTCAGACGCTCCCCCACGGTGTTACTGCCCTCCCTCCTTTTTAGAGGGCAGGTCTGCATTTCCAGCCCAAGGCAAGGATAACCATAAGCTTCAGAGCAAACAGTTTTGTGGCTCCCAACCCTTGGATAATCTCTAAATACAATTCTATGGAACATTCACATATATGACTTTCTAAACCTGACATTTCAAATATAAATATGTCCTACATGACTAGGCTGTAATTAGAGCATATTCATTCATTGAGTTACCAAGTTGTTTTTCCATTTCACTGTGAAACCAGATGAACCACACAAGGGGTGGAAAAACCAGTTCTGCTCTTTCTCTGAAGAGACTGCAGTGGATAGTGATGCAAACACCAAACCATTAACCTTTCTGAAGAGCCCCTTTTGCTCCAACCTTGTTGCTTTATGTTCTTGTCAACCTTGGGGCTCTCTGATCCCTGCTGCCTCTAGGACTTTGGAGATAGAGGAAAAGGCCAGGAGTCCATCTGGAATGTCTGTACTGATCAGGGCAGTTTTCTCAGAGGGGGCTAGCTCTTGACCTATAGGAAGAGGTTCCATTCTGAGTCATTTCAGCAAAGTTATGTTTTGGTGTACAACATGTAAAACAGACCCCTAGGGACTTTGAAAAGGTAGGCGCCGTGCAAGATCCTGTCCTTTCATATCACCTGATTTTTTTTAATGTTTTATTTATTTTCAAGAGAGAGCGAGAGACAGAGTGCGAGCAGAGAAGGAACAGAGAGAGAGGGAGACACAGAATCTGAAGCGAGGCTCCAGGCCCTGAGCTGTCAACACAGAACCCAGTATGGGGCTCGAATTCATAAACCACAAGTTCATGACCTGAGCTGAAGTCGGAGGCTTAACCAACTGAGCAACCCAGGCACCCTTCACCTGAGATTTTGATGTCAGCCTAAGTTAGGGCAACTGGGAGTCTCCAAAGCAGCTTTTGAGTAAATGTCTGGTTATGCTTGGAAACTGGCTATAACCAAGCAAACCAAGGGTAACTTGCACGTAGACTGTAGTCTGTAGACCTGGGAGGGAAACTGAGGGACAGTGTCACAGGATGAGGCCACATCACAAAATCCAATCGATCATTCTAGGTCCTCATTTGTAAGGGGATGTACAGAGAGAATCCAGGCACCAAGCCAATGAAAGAACGTGCTCAAGAATTACGGTGAGAGATGCAACCTGGCATGCTTCTAACGTTGACAAGGGGTAGTTTTAGAATATCTATTTTAAACTATGTAGTACATACCTGGAATACTTCACAAATCTGTACATCATGAGATCTAAACACTCATCTTGAGAACAAAACATTATCCAGTGCAGTTGAAGTTCCTGTGTTCTCTTTGATTGGATCTCTGAATTTCCCATGAAAACCTTGTATGTATACTACAAATGTATATATTCCTAAATTAGATCTAATGTTGTGACAAATTGTTTCCTTCACACATATGGCATCAGTCTGCATGAATTCTTCTGTAACTTGATTTTTTTCCCATTCAGTGCTATGTTTGTGAGAAACATTCCAATTGATACACATAGTGCTGATTTATATTTGTTTTGCCAGCAGTGCTTTGTTTTGTTTTGTTTTAAATATTTTTATTTATTTCTAGGAGAGAGAGAGACAGCGTGAGCAGGGGAGAGTCAGAGAGAGAGAGGGAGACACAGACTCTGAAACAGGCTCCAGGGTCCGAGCCGGCAGTCAGCACAGAGCCCGACGCGGGGCTCGAACCCACGAACCGCGAGATCATGACCTAAGCGAAAGTTGGACGCTTAACCGACTAAGCCACCCAGGCGCCCCTTGCCAGCAGTGCTTTGTACACAGTGGTCCTAGTTGGGAGAGGAAGGGAAGGAATAGGAGGGAGCTACTTAAAGGACAGTCCAGACTGTGCACTTAGTGTCCCCCAGTGGTGACCCAGCTCACCCATGGGTCAGGTGCAAGGGTGGTAACAGGACCTGGCTGGTAAATGAAATTAATTATAATGGAAGAAAGTGAATTTTCACAGAGAACCTGGAATCGACGAAATAAAAATGATATTTCATGGTAATAAACACATAGTAATTATTTAATGATTGCATGTTGATTCTAAAAATTTGAGGAAAATAGATCTCTGTTTCAAAACTTAGACACTGTACGTGCTATGGCAACATGGCATAATTAATGATTCTAAATAATTTCTCTCTCCTTTGCTTTCTCTTCCCTGTGTTTTCTGTATTCTGCCCCAGCTAATCTGATCCCTGCTCTGTAGCCTTCCGAAGGATTGACGTTCATCGTCATTAATGAAACTCACCTGCCACCTGACTGGACCCCACAGCAAAGGCTTTGGCAATCTTTCTCAGTTAAAACAATAATGACTTTCTTGGCAAGTAATCCCAGTGGTGTCTCTTTTCTGTGTAGCCTGGAAGAATACCTGACTACCAGCGGCAATTCTTCAGAGACCTTCTAAGACCCGCTCTGCCATCAAACAGCTGAGTGACTCTGGGTTGATCAGGGGTGCTTCAAAACTTGTGGATATCACTTCACCTGGAAGATTCACCCACTGCTACTCAGAGCTGCTGCAGAAATACCATGTCTAAGAACTCGGAGTTTATCAATCTGTCATTTTTGTTAGATCATGAGAAGGAAATGATCCTGGGAGTCCTAAAGAGAGATGAGTATTTGAAAAAAGTGGAGGACAAGAGAATAAGGTAATATTCTTTTCTCTTTTTTGCCCTTCCTGACTGCTGTCTGTTTGAAGCAAGCTAGATTAGAAATTGGGCAACTGCGACCCTACTGGAGACAAATGTTGGTCAGTGCTTTGATGGGTTCCCAGCACTAACTCACGTATTAGAAAACATCTTTGATATGTTATCACTTAGCTAGATAGAAGAATGGAATTGAGTGCATAATATGGTGTTTTTTTTTTAATTTTTAAAAAAAATGTTTATTTTTGAGAGAGAGAAGACAGAGCATGAGTGGGGGAAGGGCAGAGAGAAAGGGAGACACAGAGTCTGAAGCAGGCTCCAGGCTCTGAGCTGTCAGCACAGAGTGAGTGCAACATGGGGCTCAAACTCCTGAACCATGAGACCATGACCTGAGCTGAAGTCAGATGCTTAACTGACTGAGCCACCCAAGTGCCTCAGTGGATAATACGGTGTTGATGAGAATTCCCATTTACTAATAACATCATAAGTAGTAGTTAAGTGGAACTAGTGCCTAGGTTTGAGTACCAGCTCCTGGATGTATTAGTTGTGTGGCCTTGAACAAGTTACTCAGTTTTTTTGTGCCTTTGTGCCTTGGTTTCCTCATCCATAAAGCAAGGATAATAAAAGTGCCGACCCCATGGGGTCATTGCAAGGATTAAGGAAGAGAATACATGTACAGTGCCTGGTACCTAAGTTCACAATTATTTATTTATAATGTCTTTCTCATGTCAGTCTTTCTGGGAATTTATTCCCACCATAGCTAGGAGAAGAAGAGAATCTGGAGAGTGAAAAATTATCATTTTACCTCAGAAGTCATCTGAGTTTTTAAGAATAAGTCTCTAGGGGTGCCCGGGTACTCCGTTTGTTGAGCGCCTGACTCTTGATTTTGGCTTAGGTCATGATCCTAAGGTTGTGGGATCGAGCCCCCCATTGGGCTTCACCCACCCTGAGCTTGGACACTGCTTAAGATTTTCTCTCTCTGCCTGTCTCCCTTGCTCATGTGCTCGCTTGCTCTCAAATAAAATTTAAAAAATAATAAGTTTCTGTTTGAGTAACATGGAGTAATAGGGGCACAGTTGAGTTTCACATCGGTTGCAGGCAAGGTTGATATTTAGCTGGATCCCCAAGCCTGACCTTCCCTATGTTTCAGTTAGCATCCATTCTGATTGGTTGCATCATCTGTTCTAAACATTCACACCGTTGTTCTGATTGGTTGTCACATCCATTGGGAGTGGTTGCTGCCTGTACTGTGCTGCTTGTTAAATATATTTGTCTATTATATCTCACCCCTGATGAGAGGAGCAGAAATAAACACAGTTCCCTTCTCAGTGACCACCTACTGTGCAACACATAGATTTTGTGCTTTATATGTCTCCCCAAACTGCAATTATTTTGACCGCAACACTCTGAAACTAGATGTGAGCCACGAGAAAAAATCTGGAAAGACCACAAAAACTTAAGTTTCTTTTCCTTTTTTTTTAAATTCAGGAGAAAACTTGTCATAAGATTATCTTTATATAGCACAAAAGTATTCAGTGTGCCTAACGGAACCAGGATCCTAGAATTGGAAATACATTGGAAAATTCTTGATTGGTGCTCACTTCATAGTTAAGAGCCCAGAATTTTTATTTCCATCATTCATAGGTATTTAACCAATCTTAAAGAAATAAAGGCTTTCATGAAAATTATTGCAATTTTTCTATGCCTAGAATTCAGGTTAGTGCGGTTAATGGTTTTTAAAGAAGTCTGAAATTCTGTTTTTGGCGTTTGTATTCCAGTCATGAAAACTGACTAAATTTTCTATTGTGCTGCAAAAAGTTATATTGTTATGGGAGGCGAGGTACTAGCTAGTAACTGATGACATTCTCTGGGGAATTAAAAATCACTCTCTTCAGGAAAACACAAAATATTTTTTCTTTCTTTTTATTTAAGGTTCATTTATTTATTTATTTTGAGAGAGAGAGAGGGAGGGAGAGAGGGAGAAGGAGAGAGAGCAAGCAGAAGAGGGCCAGAGAGAGAATCCCAAGCAGGCTCTGAGCGGCCAGCACAGAACCTGACACAGGGCTCGAACTCTCGAACTGTGAGATCATGACCTGAGCCAAAATCAGGAGTCAAATACAACCTACTGAGCCACCCCGGCACCCCGGGAAAATCCAATTTAATAACCAGATCCTCATAAACACTGAAGTACAATGAATAGGGATTTGTTCAAAATATTTGCTTCTGTCGTTCTAGTAACTTTTCCTAATAATCTGTTATACTGTTTTCCTTTCTTTCTTCCCTTGCCTCTTTTCCTTTGCTCTCTGAAGAAATTTAGCCAAATGTGATATACAACAGAGCTATTGAGAATAAAGTTGTTGATTTCCAGGCTCTTCAAACTTGTTTGCGGAAAGCCAAAGAAAGGCTTTGATAGATCTAAGACATACTTTTATAGAAAATAGATATTTTTAAAGCTGCTATATCTTGTTCTCTTCTTTAATAGCAGCAGTGGCTAATATTTTGTTGAGTTGTTTTCTGCACTAACTGTATTAGATATGTTGTCTTACTTTGTTCTGAGCTACCAAGGTATGAGCCCAAGCCAGATGACTCAGGCTCTGCCACTCCTTTTTTTTTTTTTTTTTAAATTTGAGAGAGAGAGACAAAGTGAGAGTTGGGGAGAGGAGCAGAGGGGGAGAGAGAGAATCCCAAGCAGGCTCCATGCTCAGCATGGAGCCCGACACAGGGCTTGATCCCACAACCCTGGGATCATGATCTAAGCCAAAATCAAGAGTCCGATGCTCATCCGACTGAGCTCTGCCACTCTTAACAGCTTTGCATGTTGAGGAGCCACACTGAGGTGAGTGGCGTGGTATTTAGAGTGTGTGCTGTTGAATCACATACCACATTTCTTGATTCAAATCGTTGTTACACCATGAAATCTTTGTGTCACTTTGGATAGGTAGGTTCCATGAATAAATCTAGTTCCCTCATTTGGCGAAACAGAAATAATAACATTAGGTACCTCATAAGGTTGCTGTAGGGATTAAATAAGCTAAATTATCAAGAGCTTAGAAGAATGCTGGCATACAGTAAATACTTACTAATTTCTGGCTTTAATCATTAGCCCTATTGTTGGTATGTGGCGTAGTGAACACTGTCAGTGCTCCACCAAGATGTGCTAGGGTCCCTTGTTGGATCTGTGCTCTTATCTCCCAGTTTCCACACGCTTTACTGCTAAGGATGGTGTCTGTTACCTTCTTTAGAGGACTACCTTTGAGTGGCGAAAGTTTCCCATAGGACTGGAGAGCCACCAGTGCCAGGTAAACTTGAGTTTATGTCCCTACTGGGCAGCCCCAAGCCAATGGCTTTGCAGTGCAGTTTCTGCCTCACAGCTTCCTGTGGAATAATACTGCGGTCACCTGAAGACCACAACCTTAATTGGCCCCTCTCAGCTTATCTGTCCTGCCTCCTCTGTCCCCTTACAGATTCCTCCCAAGGGGACTCTATAAGTCACTTGCACACAGTCTACATCTCAGATTAGCTTTTGGAGAACCCAACCAGGAGATTTGCCAGATCGAACAGGGAACTTTGTTCTTTTTCCTTGTTATCCTCCAAAATCATCAACATGAGGAATTTATGGTGTAATCAATTTTGTTGCAACAGTAAATATTTATACTAGCTGTTGCAACAGTTGTTTTCACAATGCCACAGAGGTGTAAGTTGTTATTTTGTGGGCCTCTACAGGGACGCAAAATTAATTATGAATATGATAGAAATTGAAGGAATGGTTTCACAGAAGGGATAACGCTTGCGCTTGGCCTTGAAATGTGAAAAAGATTTGACACTGGCAAATACATGTCAACCGCATTTTAGCTGTTTACTATGAACCACAAAATTGCCTTCAGATTCTGCTAATCAGTTTTAAAAGGAAATGGAAGCCAAAGAACAGTTTTAAGAATTATGACGGTTACAGAGAAGTAACTGATATGGAAAGTTAGTAAATTTGACTTGGGAAAGCAGTAGATTTATTGTTTCTTTATGTGTTTATTTGTTTAAGTAGGTCATTCTTAAAGAGAAAAATGGAAGAATGTAAAAATTGTGTTGAATCAATGCTTTAGGACTGATGCTCAACTGTACTGTATGGTCCCCATAGCCACTCAAGTGTGGCATTAATTAAAATGGGACTAGTCTCTCAGTGCTCCTGAAGGTGCTCTGAACCCAGAAGGCACATGGCAAGCCTGATAATGATCTCCAGGCATGAATCATAGGCTGGGAAGAGGTGTCTACCTACTAACGGAGCATTTTAGGTTCACCCAAGAGGCTTAACTGTATCTATTCTCCTTTAGACCAAGCAGGAGGAAATGGTAGGAAATATCTAGAACCAGGTTTCAACTATTACAGAATAAGAATATTTTAAATGTTCTTTGTGAAGAACAAATCACTTAGTTTTAGTAATGGCTTTACTATAGTGAAGACAGAGGGTGGAAGTGATGCTAATAAAATTGAGCTATCCACAGAGAATGGAAATGGAAAAAAATAGAGTTTGGAAGCCCAAAATAAAGACCTTTATTGACGTTTTGTACCTTAGGTTTTTCTAACTTTGGAAGAACTCCCCCTAACATAAAAGATGACATGGTTCATGGTCTACTCTAAAAAAATCTCATTGACAGAAATCTTATTCTCTTTGACCTTCTACACCTAAAAACAAAAAGTGTTAAATGTTTACAATTTGGTATTGGCCTACATTAGAAATCTTCAATTGGTAAGTGACTCTTCATTGTAGCAGTTCATTTGGGCTTTATCCTTACTAAGAAGATGCCATTTCCATTTGGCCACAATACATGAAAACATATCTGGACTTAATGTTCTCTTTGGTACCTATTATTGGCCTTGTCTCAGTAATGAACTCTGTTGGTTGCCTTACATTCCCCTTTGGTTCTTTGCTTCCCCCCTTTCCAAATCTTGATTTTGCTCAGCTCCAGCAGTGGATCTTCTAAAAGAAAAATTCACCCCTTGACTAATAC